CCCCCCCCCCCCCCCCCACCCCCCCCCCCCCCCCCCCCGCAGCAAGTCCAAAATCAAGAGGCCGAGTTAGCAAACTCGGCAAGTGGATTTTGAGGCCTCTTATGATGATCGTACATGACGAAAGTGCTGTAAATACCGAGTAAAACGGATGTGCCTTTAAGATGGTTTTAAGCAAGTGTAGTTGGTAGGGGGGGGGCGCCTACTACTACTACTACTACTACTACTACTGCTACTACTACTACTACTACTACTACTACGATAACTAGTAGTACTTACTAGTACTACTAGTACTACTCCTACTACTACTACTACTACTACTACTACTACTACTACTAATACTACTACGACGAATCATGATAATGATGCAAAACATGTTAGTGCCGCTGCGGGTCCCTACTAGTACTACGACGGTGAGTACGAAGATACTGAGTATCAAAAAATGAAAGCTGCTCCCATTGCTACTATTCCCAGCGCTGTTATGATTGTCAGGACAGCCATCCTTCTTGCTTCTAATACTATGGGGGTAGTATGACGGATGCAAACTTGATGTGTCGGATACTACTAAGGATTGCTATCATCATCGCATGAGCCCTGTCCCCCATATGGTGGTTCACGAGGCGATGATCAGCCTCATCAGCTCTCACCTAGGCGCAGGCCACATGATTCTCCCAAACGGACAGACAATCAAACGTTTCCATCTGCCGCTGCCAGCATCAAATGTTGTGTCAGGCTACTCAGAAAGCAAGCCTCGCTTTGCAGTCTAGACACGACTAGGATCACATCGCGAAGGGTTGCATCTTCTGGCATGTTCCAGTACTGGATGGCCACTTTTGGAGCAGGCACGTTCTCGATCTTTCCCTCATCAACCTGATGATGGCTGCAGCTCGCCTAACTTTCTTGAGTTGGCGAACATTTGAGTCATGACTACATATGACTGGCAGCCATCTTCAGCATCTCTGTGTAGGTGTGGACTGCCTCTTCTTCAAGGTATCCGACGAACCTGGCTTGAGATGCTGGATGGTATCAAAGTTTGCTCCCACCGAGCTGGGACTGCAAAGCGAAGAACAACAATTCAGCAATCGAGCTGCCGGTGGGCGATGCGTGGAGTCACCACGTAGAAGATCGTGTAGGCAGCGAAGAAGACCCCTTGCCCACAAACGACCAGCACCCGCTGGTGCCAGCGTTGCTTTGCTAACTCCATGAAGGTCATCAGATGCATCCTCTCGTTCTCTGCCTGCCAGTGCAAAGAGACAGTACCTACCACGTCTGGAAAACCCGAAACTCCTAAGCCCTGAACCCCTCCCCCAAACCTAGCTCACCTGCCTCGTCCATAGTTGGCTTAATCCAGTTGCAATGCCTCGCAGGAGCCACGGAGCGCCGGGCAGATAAAATTTCATCTCCTTTAGACTTCTGTGGGTTTAGGGTTTAGGTATGATGTGTATAAACGTAAAAAAATACTGTATACAGACGTGCATAAATACATACATACCTGCGCAGAGATCTCTTTCTGGGGCATGACTGAACATTCACGAGATGAGTTGTGCACATGTCTGACATTATTGTGGTGTGATACAGTGCAACTCCCTCGCTGCTGCGGCCGTGCCACAACAGTAACAGGTCCCAAGCAACCAACATCAGTCGACCAGCGAATTACACACCATGCAAATGCTTGTGCAGATCCACTCCTGAGGAGAGGACACCAGACGTCGCAGAGAACGCATGTGGTGAATCCTCACATCCATGGCAAGACAGAGCTGCCACCATCGTGCGGATTGACATGTGCGGACACCCGGCTCAGTGAAACACTCAAGACAAAGGAATCTAGCAATCTATCAATTGACTTCTCCATTCACTGTGACCAACTTTCCATGTTGCAAGCACTACGGCTATGAAGTTCTGCCTAGAAGCATGCCGGCCACGAAGCCCGGCACAGCTGCGATGGTCTCGAGCATGCCTTGGGATAGTGTGCTTTCACTGCAGCCTGGTTTGCATGCGCGTGCGTTTTTGACTCCATGTTGCCTGTACATTGCATGCAAGCGTGTTCATATACGCATGCACACATCCGGATACACACACTAGTTGCACCTAGATACTTGAGTTGGAGTGGAGCTGACATAGAGCCATGAGACAGCGCAGCACGACCGACCATTCCTGGAACTAGAGCTCCAAGATTCAATATCGAGGCTCAAGGAAATTCTACCGTACAGATCTACATACACTAGTGACCTAGTGTAGACAATGCAGTGTTTCATTGTGCTCTCTTTCAATGCCATTCTGCTACGCATGCAGCTAAGTCCTATCTTCTAGCATTACATACATATAGCTCATGTACATATTTCCTTTTGCTTATATACAGATATACAGATATATGTACACACACACGCACGCTTCCTATTTATTTACTTCTGTACTTACACTTCAAGGTCACTCAACTTTACAAGATCTGAGTTTGCATTATGCTAGTTTGCACTATGATGCGCTTCGTTCGCCGTTTCAATTAACCACAGTAGGGTGGACTGCGTTGAGTGTCCCACTGTCTGCACGGTGTGATATACAATGCTTTCCATGGTGTACTTCGGTGCAACATGCTCTTCATTCGTATACCATGTCAACGTCCGTCGTCCATGATGCATTCCAGCTTGTGCCTGTTTCATTGTGCAGAATTTGAACCGCATGCATGCTGCAAGTTTATTTTTGAACCATTGTTTGGCTTTCTTTTGAAGCTGTCTGTGGGTACCTACCATTCTGCTATGTCTTGGTCTTGGCAACTACAAGGCAGCCTAAGCGCAGCCTACTGTGTGACAGGCTCTGGCACTTCCTCGGGCTGGGTCTTTCTTTCTGTGCTTTGAGAGGAGCTTCTGTTCGATGCAAGTGTGACGTCAACTTCTGCAAGCTTTGCTTCAACGTGCCTGACCTCCAGAATTCAGGGGAAGCCCGACTCGAGGCTTTGATGCCAGTGATTTTTGCGGAGTTTCTGGGTGCAGTACGTTCTGAGGATGCGGGCGGCGGCGCGCTGCTACAGTATCTTGTTGCACACGCGCGCCGTAACCCCAATGCGGGACTGTGGTGATCTTCATCCCATCTGTCGTTTACGAGTCATTCACTTCTCTTCTCCCCGGTCTTCAGAAATGATGAAGAGCTGGCGTTCCATCTCCCCAACTCGAGAGTAGGAGAGCTACGGGATGGTGACGTGCTGGTGCCACCTCTGCAAGCATGGGGGTAGCCGACGTGACGAGCGAGGCAACCTGTGGGGTCATGGTCATCTACAAGCAGCCATCATGCACGGCAGCGTTATGCCCAAAAGGAAGGTTAAGATTTAGTCTTCAGCTTGGTGGTCAGGTGCTCGTCGAAGGTTGCAGTCTTGCATGAGCTTCATTGTGGCCGTCTGGTCTTCGCGGTTTGGCCCGCACCACTTCCCATGTACGTGGATCCAGTGTGCATGACCACAGTTCAGCCGACTGTATGTTTAAACAATGATCTCTCAGCATAAGTCTTAAGGTGGCCGTCCAGAGCCAAGCGAGTTTAGATTGAGTATGATTGAATGCTGCGAGCACTGTCTGTACAGATTTTCGGCTGGAAACAGGCTTAATGTGTCTGCTGCATCATATAGAAATGTTTCATGCATGGGAAGCAATGGAACATAATGGAACTGTTGACTTCCGCTACTGCATCTAAGTGCAGCCGATAGTTTTGAAACAAACAGGCAAGCTGCAGGCTCGATCCAGCAGCCTGTCCTTGAAGTAAGCATCCTCGGCTTGGAGCTCGTGTTGACTATCAGACTCTTGCAACACACTCTATGCTGGTATCACGCTGGTCTACTTTCTCGGCAGACCTGTCGGCCCAGTGCTGCTGCGTCACGCTGGCCTTGCGCAAAGTCTTCACCATGCGAAGGGCAACACGGTCTTGCCACGTGACCTAAGTTTGTCATGACTCTCAAATCCCTTGTTGCTACGCGCACCTGCCTCCGGTATCCTCCGTCTCCGTTGGGAACCAACCACTCATGAAAGCAGATTACAATTTCTGCATGCAACCTCACGTGCACACAGATGCAACTTAATACAATTTTGGGGTGCGCCGTGAAAGCGAGTTGAGTTATCCAAATCGAGCTGCAGGTTCATAGTGGGGTTGGTCCATCCAGTCCTCTTCGCAAAATGCACATCTTGTGGCAAATAAGCTTCTTCCCGTTTCTTCTGTCTAGATCACTCTGCTCCGTGGTCCTTGTCAAGCGCCTCAAGCACCTCCCGAGAAGAAACTCGCACCCAAGAACAACGCAATCACGTGGCCCAAGAGGTCTTTCGGCGACTTGGGGCCAAGTAGCGACTGTACCTCGTGGAATGCCGATGGAATTCGTGAGATGGTGGCCGCTCCGGGTTGAGCTTGACGTTTGCCACGGGTGGGTTGAGGATGGTAGCATCGTGTGACTGCGACTGCGCAGCAGTCGAATGCCAACGGCCAGGCCCCAAGTTGGCACAGATCGGATGCAGTGGTGCAAGTGGTGCCCGATGAGTGAAGCCAGTCGCCCGAATTGCCTGAGTCATGCACTCAGGATACTCAGGCATGAGTATGTAGCTGATCTCCACAGATGCAGAGCCCGGCCTGCAGGCGCCCCACGCCTGCAGCCGCTGCCCGCTTCATTGCCGGAGCACAGCGCATCGCAGAGTCTGCGCAGATTTTCTGTACACTTGGGGGGCGATGCCTTGCCTCACAGAGCCCGCTGGTTCCGCAAAAAGGTTCATACGCGTGCCTAGCATGACATCACCTAGCTGCCCAAATGCAGTGCTGGCTGTCTAATTGTATACGGTGACATGGAGGCAGGTGTGTGACCTTTGAGACAAGCTCCCAGCGACTGAGCTCGTTGCCAGCTGCAGCTTTTGTTGCCGAACGGCACCCAGGCGGCGCAAGCGCTCACCCAAGCGCTGCTCCGCCTTGAAGCGCCCATCGGAACAAACATTTTTCTTGCGGCCTCTAAGCACCTTCATGCTTCTTCGGAGATCAATATTGCCTCGCCAAACTGCAACACCCACACAAGCGGAGAGGACCTAAAATATCTCGGCCTCTGCGACTTCGTCCCGCGCCCGGCGGCAGCGCTCGGCAGCCGCCAGGCGCGCAGAGCTCAGGGCATCCTGCGCACAGCTTGGCGCCACCAGTTGGAGAGGAATCCTACCGATCGTGTTGCATCGGGACCTGGGATCTCCGGCTTATCCTCGAGTCCTCCGTGAAAGACAGAGCCCTAGCCCAAACCCATGAGCATCAACAAACAATGGCTGCCTGCCGCCTGTGGAAGGACACGGGATGGGCACGCGACTATCTGAAGGGAAGCCATGCAAACCATGACTATCTGGCTTGGCTTTTGTGGCATCGTTTTTTGAGGAGGTATCGTTACGGCTGTGACGAGAAGCTGTCTGATGAACAAATGTGTTTTGTCTGTACGGCTTGTGTTTCTGTTACAAGCCAAGCCATGTTCACATTTAGATGATAGGAGGTTTTTACGGATGGGCAACACAGAACAAACGATCGAACACGGTGCAACGAGGTAAGTGGCACACCTCATGGTGACATGCAGCAGCAACACCACCAAAACTCGGCACACATGCGCAGTTGCCCGTGGCACATCTTCAGAAAGGCAGCAGCAGCTCCTCATCGACGGGCTTGCTTTCACTGCCCCTGGATCCAACGAGACTTCATATGTCACATGGCAAGCGAAGCCACGTGAGTGAATCATCTCTGCAGCACACGATAAAACCGCTGGCCGGGCTGGACTGCATTGCGCTGAGTCAGCGACTTCTGTGTCTGCGCCTCCTGGATTTCCTGCTTCAACATCTTGGGATTGGGCAAGACCACAAATGCCATAAGTATCATCAGCATCGTACCCACGGTTGACATCCGCACATGCCGTCACTCCTCATGCGCTCTCCATGCGGAGTGTCGTTATCATGAGCAGTAGTAGTAGTCGTCGTCGTGGTAGCGGTAGTGAATAGTGGTAGTGGAAGTGGTGGTAGTAGTACCACTACTGCTACCATTGCTTCTACTCCTTGTCCACTCCTACCACTACTTCGACGATGACTACTCTTACTCCTACTCCTATCCCTGCTCCTCCAACTCAACCTTCTTCTCCCACTCCTACTCCTGCTCCTACTCCAACCCCTCCTACTTCTACTACTACTACTAGTACCACCACCACGACGACGACTACTACTACTACTTCTGCTGCTGCTGCTACTGCTACTGCTACTGCTACGGCTGCTACTCCTGCTGCTACTCCTACTACTACTACTACTACTACTACTACTACTACTACTGCTATTGCCACTGCCACTGCGAATGCTACTGCTACTGCTAACAACTGCTACTACTGCTAGTACTGTCTGATTGCTGGTGCAGCTAGAACTGCTTGCTCTGCGACTACTGCTGCTACTGCTAGTTGAAACTGCCACTATGGCTAGTACTGCTACGATGACGGTGACGATGACTACTTCTACTCAACAACGATGTGATATTGCTGGCTCGTCTAACCGTCGAACGCAGTTGACGAGGACTCAACTGTATGATCCCGATTTTTGCCATTGAGTAGTGTTACCAGTGCTACTGGTATTCTGCCCGTTTTAAGTCTTACACATATGCCTAATATTCTCACTCCGGTTGCAGCTAGTCCACATCAGTACTAATTACTAATCTCTGTTGTAGTGCACAGCGTGGTTACTCCTGTTCATGTTCTTGCCATTCCCAGCCCGGAGAACCTCTACATCAGCAACACTGCAATCACTACCGGGGGGCAAGCCCACAGCCCTCCATAAAGCCTGAAACTGTGAACCTTAGACAGCTTGTGTTCGCGCAGCAGCTCTGGCCAAGCTGGTCGCTGAAGAGCTCTAAGCCTCTAAGCAAATCTAGCACGTTCTATATCTAAAGGGCCTCTCTTGGGAACCTTATTTTGGTGAGCTACTACAGAATTCGAGCGGCTTTATAAGGCCTTTGAAGAACCGCTCGTGAGTGCAGATGTTACGGTTTGGGGTTGGCTGTGAGGCTCCCAGGTCGAGGTCCCTCTAAGGCTATAAGCATGCACAAAATTGCAAACTGTCCTCATGGGCAGGCGCCTGGCGAGAAACATAATTTGTTGAGACATCCTAGTTTCATGCACCTACATCCATCCATCCTTTCATCAAACCATCCATGCATGCATGCATGCATGCATCATGCATACGCATTCATGCGTGCATACGTGCATGAATCCATACATACATACGGACATACATACATACATACATACATACATACATACATACATTTTGATTTCCATGCGTTCAGAGGAGTCCGCAGCCTAATTAGAGAGTGCAGAAGTCTCGCGAAAGAACCTGAAAGGCTCTGCGAGTGGGTGGCTCCAAAACGATTTGTGCGCTCTCAGGCTCGGTCGTACTCCTTTTAAGAGGCTTGACCAGAGTTCCCGCAGCGGTACCGGGAGCAACCTAATCGGGTCTTTGACCACGGCTATGTCAAGAAGTCCGCCTCTGTTTGGGGGCCACACAGCTTCCCAGCCCTCCTCCAGAATATGCAGCGAACTTCCCTGGGTCACGTTGTCATCAATGAAACTTCCGATTGACGCGTTCCAATCGTAGCTTCGCACCATTCTTCCAAACGAGCTCAGTGTTCTAAGCTCCTCAAACTCCTGCGCTTCAGAAGCCTCGTTCCCACTGACTCGATTGTTCATGGTTTCCAGGGCAGAGAGAACTCGCCGATACTGGCACTCGTGCCAGGGTCGTAGTTCCTCATCGTCCTGCAGCTCTTTCGCCTCGCTGGCCGTAGTCTGCAGGACATCCCCGATTTCTTCCCTGTAGAGGGGGTGTCTCTTTAGCTCCTTAGCCATGAACGCTGTCATGTCATCCTCCGTAGCCTCGACATCATCCTGTAAGAAACCACAGAGGGAGCTGTAGAGGTCGCGCTGCCACTGGTTCCATGCCTGTGTTGGCATGGTCCCTCCGGAATGGCCATCTTTCCGCGGTGGGGCAGGCGTGAAATGTTCAGCCTCATGTTGTCGACGTTTCTTGCTACCATAACCCGCCGGAATGTCATCAGCAAGATTCCCCATCGACAGAAGAAGCCGGGTGCATCGCTCAGATGCCCGAAGGTGATCCTCAAGCCGGCCTCTGGTCCAGTACTCCGTCTTGCACGCAGCACAGTAGCTGCCCACAACACACCTGCGGTATGCAGCATGTCTTCCATGGGCCTTGTAAAGGTGAGCTCCCAGACCGGCTTTGTTCTTGAAATCACGCTCGCACATGAAGCATCGATGCTGGCGTCGCCCGCCGTCAATCTCCAGCTTGGCAATGCTCCGATACATGTACCAGAGGCTGACAGAGACCGCCTCATTCTTCTGGTAGGTCACAAAGTCCTCGTTATTGAGGCGACGGACTCGACGCTTGATCCTGTCCGATGAGTCTCGCAGCAGATGGCACCATAAGGGCCAGCTTTCTGCATTGATCTGCGGCCACTGCGTCTCTTCTTTTTGCACAAACCATTCGAGATCGCATCGAGCCTGCTTCTTCCAATTGTCCTCGTTCTGGATCATCGCCCAAAGTACATCGGGGGCAGCCTTCGCCATGGATACCATTGCTGAGAATCTGCTTCTTCGGGCAAATAGATCCAACGTCCAGCAACCTGTCGCCCAATGTGCCAAAGGGAGGGGGACATGGAAAAGGGCAGGGCCAACAACCTCAGTTCCCAATAGTCTGCGAACCAACCGTGAGAACGAGTTGCTCATCTTTTCCCATTCTCTGCCATTGGCGAGCCAGAGAGAAAGGTTAAAGTAGGTTGAGACCACCGTAGATTGAAAGAGGGAGGCGCGTGTCGTCATCTGTAGATCTCGATTGTGGAGTAGTAGATCTTTCGCGCTGTTGAAAGCAGCACCAGCCAGGGCTGTGCGGTACTTGGCTTCACTCCCAAACTTTGCTGCTGGGTCAACCATGGCACCCAAATGCTTGTAGGTTTTGACCACCGGAATGGATTCATGGAGATCAGGGAGGAAGAGCTCCGGCTTGCCACTAGAGAAAAATTTTCTCCTCGCCTTGGTTGCCCCAGATCCTACAAGACGCAGAATGATGCTGGTCTTGTCCCTTTTCAGGTTCGGGGCCAATCCATGCGATCGAAAGAGGGACACGACGACCGAACTGAGCCTTGCCGCGCGGGCTAGAAGATCATCTGCACTATCTCCCTCAATCGCCCAGGCTGAGTCGTCAGCCCACGTTGTGTCCCATGCAGGTTGTGGCTCATCCTGCAGACTGGTAGCGAAGGGGCCGCTAGAACAATCCCATGGCAAACTGAAGTTCACTCCTTCGCCTTCCATGGTTTCGTGGATCTTGTAGAGGACCTTGGCGTAGATAAATGAAAAGAGGGTGTCCGCCCATGATGCCCCCGGTCGGGAGC